ATAAGTTCTATCACAGTTTTAAAAAAGTATTTACATGTTTCAACTAACTTTTTGAATACAGTTATAACAACTGTTTTAATGTTCTTCTCTGCTAATTTTAACATATGTGCAAGTTCTGGGTCAGTTTTGATTAACTTATTATTTTCTTCATTATAGGTTGTGTTTTCTTTTCTTTTCTTTCTTTCTTTTTTGAGACAGCTTCTCATTTTGTCACCTTTGGTAGAGTGCTGTGGTGTTGTAGCTCACAGCAACCTCACACTCTTGGGCTCAAAGGATCCTCTTGCTTCAGTCTCCTGAGTAGGTGGGACTACAGGCACCTGGCTCAACACCCAGCTATTTTTAGAGATGGGGTCTCGCTCTGGCTCAGGTTGGTTTCAAACCTGTGAGCTCAGGCAATTCACCTACCTCAGCCTCCCAGAGTGCTAGGATTACAGGCCTGAGCCGGTATACATGGCCCTTTATAGATTGTGTTTTCTTCCTTTTTCTTTCCTTTTCTTTCGAGACAGAGCCTCAAGCTGTCCCCCTGGGTAGAGTGCCATGGCATCACAACTCATAGCAACCTCCACCTCCTGGGCTCAAGTGAGTCTCCTGCCTCCGCCTCCTAAGTAGTTGGGACCACAGGTGCCCGCCACAATGCCTGGCTATTTTTTTTTTGGTTGCAGTCATCATTGTTGTTTGGCAGCCCTGGACTGGATTCAAACCAACCACCTTAGGTGTATGTGGTTGACGCCTTAGCCACTTGAGCCACAGGTGCTGAGCCTCTTTTCCTTTTCTTTAGACAGGGTCTTGCTATCTTGCCTAGGCTAGTCTTAACTCCTGGGCTTAGATCATCCCACTTTAGCCTGCTGAGTATATTAAGCTACAGACACAGATCACTATGCCCAGCTTAGTTGTTTTCTTATCTGTTTGGATGTCTAGTAATCTTTGACTAGGTTCCAGTCATTGTGATTACCTTTTTGGGTGCTAGGTATTTTGTATTTCTATACATTTTCTTGAGTTTTGTTCTGGGATACAGTTAAATTATGTAGAAACAAATTTTTATCTTTGTGCCTTATTTTTATGATTTATTAGGAAGATCTGGAGTAGTGCTAAGTCTGGGCTTTTTCTAGGAGGTCTTGGGGAAAGGCAAGTGTATGAGTTCCTAGTAACAGTAATGCTACCACTAAGACACAACCTTCTTGAAAGTTCTACCCAATGCCTATGAATTGTGAGTTTTTCCAGTCTGGCTCATAGGAAAAAAACACTATTCTCAATCTGTGTGAGCACTTCCACTCTTTCCTCTAATTCTTTTGGTTGTTTTTTCTTTTTTTTTTAAGAGATGAAGCCTCACCCTGTCATCCAGGCCAGAGTGCAGTGGTGCAATCATAGCTCATTGCATCCTTGAATTGCTGGGCTCAAGATGATCCTCCTACCTCAGCCTCTAAGTGGCTGAGACTACAGGGGTGTGCTACCATGCCTGGCTAATTAAAAACATTTTTTTTTTCTTTTTTTAGAAATGAGGTCTTGCTGTGTTGCCCAGGCTGGTATCTAATTCTTGGCCTCAGATTCCTGAGTAACTGGAATTACAGGCACAAGCCACAACACCCAGTCCTCTAATCCTTTTAGATGATTATTTCCCAGCCTTGGGTAGTTTCCTCCCACATGGGCACTGGTCAATGTGCTACTAGATACCTGATGTTCTCTATAGGTCTCCCAAATTTTCTATGCAGCTCACTCATTTATGGTACTCTGTCCTGAGTATTATAAGGTACTCTAACTGCCTTGGTCTTTCCAAACTCTCTGCTTTGTCTCCTTGCCTCAGGGAGTCCACTGGGTTCTACTTGAGTTCCCTTTCCCCGGCAGGGCTCCTCTCTTTGGTTTACTACATCTCAGGGATAGGGATCACTGTCTTTTGATGATATCATGAAAATTGTTGTTTCATGTATTCTGTCCATGTTCTTTTTTTCCTTTTCATTGTTTTAGGTAGCAAGGTAAATCTGGTCTCTATCACTCCATCTTGGCTGGAAGCAGAAGTTAATTTGCTTTTTAACACCAATTAAATAGAGCATATTCTCATATGTTTATTAAGTATTTGTATTTCTTCTTCTGTATATGAGGGATGACTAGAAAGTATCCAGACATGTATATCTCTATTTTTCATATTACATGGCCAGATACTTTCCCAACAGCCCTCAAATTTCCTTGTTCATATAATTTGCCCATTTTCTTTTTAGATTACCTCCATTTGCTCTTAATGATTTGAAAGAGCACTTTCAGATGCAAATGAAAAGATCTGCTCACAACTGACTTTAGGAAAAATGGATATTTTATTGTTTCATGTAACAAGATCGATCTCTCTTTCTCTCTCTCTATACACACACACACAAACATTTCTATTTTTCTCTTTATTTCTCTAAGAAGGGATGTGACCATTGATTTGAAATCCAACCATTACAGTTTGTACTATAAGCAAGGGTCAGCAAAATATGACCACCTGTTCTAGTAAATAAAGTTTGACTGGCACACAGCCATGCTTGTTTATGTATTGTCTATGGCTGCTTCCATGTTGTAATGGTACAGGCAGAGAATATATAAATATAAAATATTTACTCTCTGGCCCTTAATAGAAAAAGTTTACCTACCCCTTATCTAAAGAAAAAGACAAGAAATTCTCTTTCCCAGCTTTAGCACAAAACATCCTAAAGAAGTTCTGTGATTGGCCTAGCTTGAGTCACTTAATGACTTACCAAGCAGGAAGGCAAGCTGACTAGCTGGTCCCAGGTCACATGACCACCCTTCCCAACAGCCCCTCTAGGGTCACATGATCAGAGTGGACTCACAAGGGTTCAGGAGAGAGGGAGTGACAAGCACAAGGACTGTCCACCAAAAGGACAATGACTGTCATCTGGTGTTCATGTGGTGAATGTGTCAGAATACTAAACCGAAATTTTGAGGAGCCAAGAAGAAACAATAGGTAAGGAATTCTCAAATGATATGTCAGGTTGCCATAGAGTAGATTGTTGAGGGCAGTGCTTGGGAACTTGTCCCACACTCCAGAATAAAAGGTGAAAGTGGAAGACAGATGATTTGGTGAAGTGATCCTGCTGGGGGCACAGAGTATGGACTCTCCTTCCTTAATCTTCAACCTAGTGAGAGTGGCTTGCAAGGCATTTCTCAGAGAGCTTAATACACAGCACTGTTTGAGGGGCACAGAAGACTAGGCTTGACTTCTAGCTGGGAAGAAAGGGGTCATGTGCTGCTTCAGAGGCAGAACCAGATCCTACTTGCCCCCTAATGTTTGGTGGTATTGGTGTGAATGTCTATTGTGGACAGATATAGGCTGCGTGGACAAGCAAGGAAAAGACCAATAGGTCAATTTAGTTTCCTATCCAATATTCCCCCTAGAGGGGCAGAGGGCCCACCATAGCCACCAGGTAAATACCCACTCAGAAAAGTGACACATCTGCTCAGATTAAGGGTACTTCAGGAGAGAGAACAGCAGTGAACACCAAGGAGCCCATGAATGTTCCCAGGAGATAGACTTGAGGGTCACCTTTACATTCTGCCAGTCCAGAAATGGGACTGTAGCCCTTCCCAATATCTTTTCTTTCTTCCCTCTCTGTCAGTAGCCCCAGATGGGTAGAAGTGGGCTGAGCTGGGGCACAGAAGTTTGGGGAACAGACAGTGAAGGTGCCAGGCACAGCCACCTTTGTTCATCTCAGGCTGTACGAGGTCCAAGCTGGAATCATGGGGGGAAGATTTAAAGTTTAGTCAAGTTCAGATGTTTAACTATAAATCTGAACATTCTAATTTCTGAACCGAACCATTGTTTGTGACCTGAACTGTATGTTGTGTACATTTAGGGGAATTGGGAATAAGCCTAAACTTAGTCTAGAGTCGTGTGTTGCAAACATCAGAAATCCACTGGAACTAGCCCAAGTAGAAGTTTATTGTTAAGGACACAGTGCAACATCATGAATGGGGACAAGTACAGCTAGGCTTTCCTGGCCTGGTAGCCAAGAGCCAGGACCCAAGGCCATTCCCTCTATCAGCTGGTCACAGAGACCCTGGTTTCTGAAATACTAATTCTAATGCATGATAGTAGTTACCAATTTATGAGCACTTGCTATTAACCAGTGCTCCATAGGTATTTCATTTAACCCTTACTAAAACTAACTGAAATGAAGAGGTTGGTCTTATTTTCCTTTTTACACCCTAAGAAACTGAGGCACAGAGAGGTTTCTAGTTCCAAGGTGGTAAGCAAGACCCACATGTACCACAGTGTCAAGTCCTGAGAAGGAAACCTATGAGGTGAATTTGGGCCTGATAGGGAGTAGGCAAGGCTGCCCTGAAGTGGCAATGTGTAGACAGAGACTTGGGATTAAGTAGATTAAGTGGAGGACATTTTGGGCGAGGCATCAAAAGTAGAGGGTCTGGTTAAGTGCAAAGGCCCTGAGGCATAAGGGAGCAAAAACAGTAAGGAGCAGCACAGAGGCCAGAGAGACTGGAGTTTGAGACTGAACAGACTAGGGTAAAAAGGCAGGACAGAAGGGCTGAGTGGGGCCAGACAGAACCTGCTGGGTCAGCAGATAAGAAAACATACTGTTCAGACTGGGACACTTGTGAGGATGAACAATGGGGACTGTTCCAATAAATTCAGATGTCTGATCACTCCCTAATTAAGAGCTAAGGTAAAGAACTTGACTTGTGTTCTAAAACCAGTGGGAAAACTCTTGCTTTTGAGCCAGGTGATCTGCTCAAAAAAAAAAAAAAATGTACTGAGGTATCATATAAATAAAGTGCACAAATACTCAGGAATACAGTTTGATGCATTTCTATAAATGTGTAGACCCATGCAACAAGACAGGTCCAATAATGTTCCTAGTTCCCAGAAGGCTCCCTCCTTCCCCCTTCCAATTCATATCCCCACAGGCAGCAAATACTCTGACCTCTAATACCAAACTTTTAGCCTGCTTTTATAAAATTAAGGATTTATACACATACATACACACACAGTGACGTGAGCAGTTTAAAGGTTTACTGAAGTGTACTCCTATGTAACCACCCCAGAATCCAGTGATAAAGCATTTCCAGCAGCCCAGAGGTCTCTTAGTGTTTTTCCAGTCAACATCTCCGCCCAGAGGCAGCGGCTCTTCTGACTTCTACCTGCTCAATAGAGTTTTTGCGTTCCCTTAGCGTTCCACTTACACACCCTCATCCCTCCCCTTATCTGCCCCAGTCGCCCCGGCTCCTCTGGGAGGAGACCCTTCTCTCCTGACGCCAACGGTTTGTTTTGGAGGTATTCTCCATCAACTTCCCTCCTCCAACCATCCAAATAAGCCAACAGTCTTAGTGAAAGCGGTGACTCGGTAGGCATACCAAGCCTGAGATAAGTACCCGTCCCGCCTCCTACCAAATCGTCGCCCAAGACATCTGCCTGCGAGGTGGAGGCGTACGTAGGAAGGTGGGACCTCAAATGGCCTCTGTAGGGCCTAATTTCTGAATTCACAGGGCACTGGCAGCCCGCTGGGTCGCCGCCTCAACCCTTGGCCCTGGCAGGGCGCCTCGTCCGGTCTGTCTTGGCTTAAGTCTCCAGAGCGTTAAGTCAGGAGGCCCAAATTTTCAAAGGCTGCTTAGATTTCGAATAAGCCGGTTTAAAACAGCATCCGTCGCCCCGCCAGGCCATCAGACCTGCGCCCACCAGCAGCCCTCCACGCCCACTGAGCCTGTCTCTGCGGGCCTCAGCGTTCCCTGTCCCACGGGGTACGTGACCACGATAGAGCACAGGCCCTACACTGAGGACACAGTGCCCGTGACCCTGCAGGCGCGCACTAACCTGAGCACCCTCTGCGCACGCGCCGGCTCGGCAATCTCAGCCCTGCACTCGTTCTACGCTGCCCTAGCCCGCCTAGGCTCCGCCCCCACCCCGACCCCTCCCATCTGCCTGGTCTTAGCTTTCCCAGCATCCCGGCGTCCCTACGGCAAGCGGGTAGGCCCTATCCGGCCGGGAGCCGGGAGTAGGAATCGCGGGGGCGGGGCGGCGCATGAGGTCAGCGCGGCTGAGGCCGGCCCGGCCGTGGTTGGCTGCGCCCGCACTGGCCGCGCCCTGGTTGGCTGCGGGCCGTGGGGCTGGGCCGCCGGGTTGGGGCTGGGGTCGGGGCTCGGGCGCCGGCCGGGCTTACGCAGCGCTGGGCTTCTCACCGTTCCTGGTCGGCGACGGGTGGAGGACAGGGCGCGGCCGCGGGCGGGGCTGAGGGGTGCGCGGGCGGCGGGGGCGAGGCGAGGGAGGGCCGCGCTGGGCAGGGAGGGCGGCGGCGCCGAGGGGAGGAGACCGGCCCATGGACCCGCGGGGCCGGGCGCCCCAGACTCTGCGCCGCCGGGACGGAGCCCAAGATGTCGGCCTAGGCCGGGGCGCGAGGACGCGGACCGGGCAGCGACAAGGCGCCACTGTTGCCAGGGGTCTAGGACGTCGGGCACCTGAGGGCTTGCCCTGACGGACTGGCCGAGCGGGCGGCGAGAGGCCGGCGTGTTGAGAGAGGGCCGCGCGGCACCATGTCGGCCAAGGTGCGGCTCAAGAAGCTGGAGCAGCTGCTCCTGGATGGGCCCTGGCGCAACGAGAGCGCCCTGAGCGTGGAGACACTGCTGGATGTGCTCGTCTGCCTGTACACCGAGTGCAGCCACTCGGCCCTGCGCCGTGACAAGTACGTGGCCGAGTTCCTCGAGTGGGGTAAGTGTGCGCCGGGCCTGGACCTGACCCTGGTCCCCTCCGGTGTCGGCCTGCGCGGCCTTACATCCGCCTCCTTTTTGCTGGGCTGACCCTCCTGCCCAACAGGCTGCCCTTCTCCACCCTGTCCTTGGGTTTCCTCTTATCTCGTCTGCTTCCCCCACCAGGCCCGCTGCCCATCCCTCTCTGGCTGCTTCTTGCGCCTTCATTGCACTGTTCGCTTTCCATCCCTCCCTACCCTCTACATCCGTGTTCGAGTGTCCCGCCCCCTCATCCTGCCCCTTGGAGCCACATTCTCCGTTCCTACTTCCACCCCCCGACCCCCCCTTCTACCCCGGCCATCGCCCTAGCCGCTTCCTAGATCCACCCTCTGAGTCTGGATATCATTTCCTGCAGCACTCCCAGGGATATCCGCCCCCACCCCCGCCCCTCGCCTTTGGGGTCCAGAGTCGGCGTTGAGTCCCTTTCTCCATCCTACGTTTTGCTGGTTTGTGAGGGCAGCCCTGTGTGCTTTTTACATCTGCTTCCCATCTCCGCCCTGTGGGCCCTCAATGCTCATCTCTTGGGAGCACAGCTCTGACGGCCCCTCCTAGATGATAGTCTGTCTGTATACCCTTGGTGTCCAGAGCCTAAACATTTCTTTTACTGTAGCACCTCTTAGGGAATTTTAAGGTTAAAAGCTTTATTTTAGATATGCCATGCAAGAGCAAATTGATTTTTGGTTTTTCATTGTAATTGTACCAGACCCTGTGATACTGGGGAAGAGGTTAGCTGGAACTGTCACCTAAAATCTTTCTCATCTGATTTTTGCATGGCTTTTCCAGTTCATTCAGGCATCTATAATGCTCTAACCATCCTTAAACTAACCTGTTATGCTTAACTAGGACAAAAATTTGTATTAGTTGGATAAAAGTGTAAAGTGAAACTCTTTTACTTCATCTCTCCCTAGCACCAGCATCCTGGCAAGACCATCAGTCTCTCTGATCTAAGAAGGGTAATGTGTATGTTCAGGCGAAACCTGCGAAAAGCTTATCCTTGGGTCATTTGTGTCACTGGGTTAGGACTGTGCAGTTTGATTCAGTAATTTCTAGTCTTTGGACTGATACAGCTAATGTTTAAAGAAATGAATGTGTTCGATGGTGGGGCTTCCAACTGTGCCAAAATGGTAACTGGAATTTAGAATTTTGTTTACAAATTAGAACTTCAGTTGCAATATTCTTTAGAGAGTTTCTGTTATTTTGCTCTGTCGTGAAATGTTACAAGATGATGTAGGAAAGCAGCAGCAGCGGCAGCAGAACATGACCCTGAGAGTCCAGCCTGCTGTTTGTTTGCTACATATAGTATCAGTATACTGATTGTTTGCTTTCTAGGGTTCTCTACCAGTGACATGATTTCCAACTGAATAATTAATTGACTTCACAGTTGGTTTGAAAGTGAGGTGTTTGGTGCATGTTAAAATCTGAGCCTTCTGAACATTATTGTATTTGCCGTTCCTTTCTGAACACTTCATTTTGAAATCCAGGCAGTTCACCTATCAGGTTCAACTTGGTGTACCATTTGTGAGTAAAGCATGACTGGAAAGGAGGAAGCAGAGGAAGAGTTGATATAGCTTGTTAGGTGTGGTCCCACTAGCCTCTCGCCTGGGAATTGGACAGCACCTCTGTGGAGATTAGTCTAAAGACTAGGGGGCCCTGTGCCCCCATGTGGTATTATGCAGCAATCTACCTACGCCAGGCCTCACTGATGGGCTTCCCTGGAGGAAGCTTTTCTCAGCGTGTGTGGAAGTCATATTTTATGACATCAGACCTTTTCAAATCTAAATTGAAGCTATGTGCTATAATATAGACATATTTTCAAAATAAATTACATTCTCTTAAGAACTCAGTTTGGACAGATGTATTAACTTTATAGAGAAGAATGGATTTAAATTTAAGGTGCAGTTAATGAAATATCAGTATGTTTTAGAAGTATTATTTAATCTCATGTATATTAACATACACACTGTTTTAACTCTGCAGTGGTATGTTACTAGCTAAAGTATGTGTGAAGTATTTTTTTTTGTTTGTTTGTTTGTTTTTAAAGATGAGGCCTCCCTCTGGTGCTTAGGCTGGTTTGCAGTGGCTCTGCAGCCTTGAACTACTACTGGTCTCAAGCAGTCCTCCCATCTCAGCCTCCTGAGTAGCAGGGACAACAGGTGTGCACCCACCACTCCTGGATAGTGTTTGTGTTTTTGTTTTTTTTAATTATTTTTTAGAGACGAGGGTCTCGTTGCATTGCCTAGGCTGATCTCAAACTCCTGCTTTCAGCCTCCCAAGTAGCTGGGATTTACAGGTGAGAGTCACTGTAGCCATTTTTTAGTATTCCTTGGAAGTGCCTAGTTTTTTCAGTTGGAAAGCAGAGAGTGGCCTTTTTTTTTTTGAGACAGAGTCTCGAGCTATCACCCTGGTTAGAGTGCCATAGTGACATAGCTCATAGCAACTTCAAACTCTTGGGCTCAACCGATTCCCTTGCCTCAGCCTCCCAAGTAGCTGGGACTACAAGCACCTGTCACAATGCCATGCTATTTTTTTTGTTGCTGTTGTTGTTGTTTAGCAGGCTTGGGCCAGGTTCGAACCTGCCAGCCCTGGTGTATGTGGCTGGTGCCCTACCCACTGAGCTACGGGCACTGCCCAAGAATGGTCTTTTGAATAAAATTATTTTTAGAGCATTTTTATGTACCCTAGTTTTCACATAGAATTACTTGTGCCTGGGCAGACTGCTCAGGTAACATACATAGGCTGTCAATCAGTGGATTGTTGAGTTTTTGAATTCACCATTACACAATGTTTGAAACCTTTGGTATATTGATTTCCACTGTGCAGAAAACCAACCTTTTCCTATTTCCCAAATCTTGCCAGGTAGTAGCTAATGACAATTAGGTAGGATTCTTGAGACTTAAGGAGAAAAGCAGCCGATTCAGTCCAGATTTGGAGACTTACTAGGAAATTTTAGGGGAAATTTGGAAAGTATAGGTAATGAAACTTTTAAGTTAAAAAATACTTTGGCTATTATTTTGTTGTTGCCACAGTGAAGAGTCCATTTCAGTTTTCTTTGTAGGTTTTTATCTTTAATTTTAATTATGTTTATAGTTTGATTGGTATCCTCTATGAGATCCTGGACCTTAATTAAAAGTTGGAAATACCATGCTTTGCATGTATGTTTCTTTAAGCTACTTTTTAAAATGTAAATTTGATATCATTTGACGCAGAGCATATAAAACACTTTAAAATTTCCACAAGTAAATGCAACAAATATAGACAACCAAATGAGGTGAATTTCTTGTCTTTCATCTTTTTTAAATAAAAATATTTTATTATGTATTAAATTTATTTTTTAACAGCTTCAATATAATGACTAGTGTTAGATTTGGACAGAGCTGCTGATTGAAATTGCAGCCTATTGGCATTGCAAAGACCACAGTGATCCTCTGTGGCCTGTGGACCAGGAGGTAGGCTTAGGGCTTGCTACTGGTATAGATGTGCATCCTAGAGGTGGAATGTGGGTCTCCAGTTCCCGTCCAGGGCATCTTTTCTCACAATGTGCTTCCTCTTAATAGAATTAAATTTTCTAGCCATCTGGTTGATTCCTCATTTGTGGTTTTTCTTATCATGAATGTGACAATACCTTCTTAGAGTTCTTCGTAGATGTGAATGCTGTAGCTGTTAGTGTGGGGTGCACAGCCCTAGGTATGAATGGGATGACACTACTAAATTTGGTAAGTAGGGCTTTACTGATGGTGTTAAACATCTCAAAATGCATTTTAATCTTAATGAGGTTTTTGGATGGAATGTTTGCATAACATGGGAATACTTCTCTTAAATAATGGGTTGAAGGAACAGATCTTTTATTTTATTTATTTATTTTGAGACAGAGCCTCAAGCTGTCTCCCTGGATAGAGTGCCATGGCATCACAGCTTACAGCAACCTCCAACTCCTGGGCTTAAGCTTGTCTCCTGCCTCCGCCTCCCATGTAGCTGGGACCACAGGTGCCCGCTACAATGCTGGCTATTTTTTTTGGTTGCAGCCACCATTGTTTGGCAGGCCTGGGCTGGATTTGAACCCGCCACCTTAGGTATATATGGCTGGTGCCTTAGCCACTTTAGCTA